ATAAAGAGGAGAGACTATGGTGCCCCCCCCTAGTCTAAAAATAAGACAAACAAAATTGGTGATACGAATATGAATTCTTTACGCTTACTGTTAAAACTACACAGAATTCATTTGATATCAGTTCTTTTTGATCAATAGGGCAAGTGATATTTACACTCACAATATTGTATTCCATCTAGGGATGGAACAATAACATGTTCAAATGATACCTATTCATATCCATTGTTTTATTGTCAGCAACTTTAATCATTATCCTGATGTAATCATTAAGCACAATTATTTTGTCCATGATAACCATGACACATTTCACTATGGCCCCACACCCACTCTAGTCTCAGTAGAAACGTGTAGGAAACACTGAATTACAGATCTAATAAAGAGTGTGTGAGTTGGGTCTGGGACCAGCAGCTGCAGGTGTGTTTGATTTCTTCACCTCCTCATGACTAACTCCTGACACTGAACCACAGAAACAAACACAACACTGATCCTACTGCCGCCTGGGTTTAAGAGCTTCTGATTTCAGCACCTCAGTCGCCATGGAGATGGTGTTGCTTTGTCCGGAATGTTCCACAGTATGGCATGAAAGTCATGTAGTGTAGATCTGTACAAACCTGTTCTGAAATGTGATTCTCGTGCTCGTTTGTCAGTTCATATTTCAGTCTTTATACGTTTAAATGTGAACTTTGAACAGAATCTTATTATTAAAACAGAAAAATTGAATCGCAATCACAAATTCGGAGAAATCACAATTAGATCTTTTTCCCCAAATAGTTCAGTCTAAATGGTGTCCAACTGAGATTTTGATTCAAATGTGTTTATTCTTGCAACCATACAAAGAATTAAACTGTAAGTGGAGGCAGGCAGCAGGTGGCTCACTAGAAAAGTAAGATGTTGTAGCTTTAAACACTGGGCCAAACACAGTGGAATGACTTTTACTGAGACACTTGACTTGATTAAACAAACGGAAGTCACTTTAAATGTAATTATGTGGTTCTGCATCAGCAAACCTCTACAATGCAGCATTTACCAAAGCTGTGTGTGAAAGCTCCTTCTGAGCCACCTCCTGATATTACACTCACACACAACAGACCACACAGGATATTTAGATAACACTCTGCTAACAACTACATGTCATGTCTTTATCATGATACTTCGCATCTGATGTCATCAACATTCTGTGGGGGTGTGAAGAGAACTAGATCAGACTTTAATCTGAGTTTTATTTTAATACAGTCTATCCAGGAAGAGCAGCTTTAGTTGGATTTACAACTGATGAGATGATTTGTGCTGTTACAGTTGCAACCAAAATTATTCAACCCCCACTGCAAATTATGTTTATTAGTAAAATATACAAACTAGCAGCTATTTATATAAAAGAAATCAAACAAGAACAATTTAAACAGCTCAACACAACTAATATTACAAGTGGTTTCTCCAAATTCAACACAAAATGCTACTTTTAATGACTGCAGTCTCAAAATGATTCAACCCCCTGAATAGCAATCCTTGTAACAGCACATTTGACAAATGAGGTGAGGTTAGGCTTCATTAGGAGCATCACATGTACTTGACATAGAAGCAGTCAAATATCTGACTATTGACGGTGACATTTCATTGCATGGACCCGACCCAATACAGTGCGGCGCGGGACACATTTTGAAACCTCATTGCGAGCGCAGGCGGGAGCGGGACTGCACAACACGGGAGCAGGCAGGGGGGATGATAAAGTGCAGTCCCACAAACTAAATATGAATGTAAAGTAAAATATACTAATGATGAATGCATGATGAATGTTTGCATATCCTGCATCATTTGTGCTGGATATTTCATTTGGCATTAATAAAAACATTTTAAGCAGCAGAACGTCCCCCGTCCCGTACGCTGCGCGGACTACGCCACTAAACCAGGTCTAAACCAGGTCTAAACCAGGTCTAAACCAGGTCTAAACCAGGTCTAAACCCAGAACTAAACCAGGTCTAAACCCAGAACTAAACCAGGTCTAAACCCAGAACTAAACCAGGTCTAAAAGGTCTAAAACCAGGACTAAAACAGGATTCAGCCAGGACTTAACCATGGCGCCGGACCACCCTTCCTCCCTTCCTCTTATCCAGGGTCAGGTTGCGGGGGCAGCAGTCTAAGCAGGGACTCCCAGACTTCCTTCACCCCGGGACACTTCCTCCAGCTCCTCCAGGCGGGCCCTGAGGCCTTTCCACCTCAGCCTGAGGAACCATCTCACCCGCTGTTCCTCTTGACGTGGAGGAGCAGCAGCTCTACTCTGAGCTCCTCCCATGTGACAGAGCTCCTCACCCTATCTCTAAGGGAGCACCCAGCCACCCTGCAGAGGAAACTCATTTCAGTCGCTTGTATCTGTGATCTTGTCCTTTCGGCCATTACCCAGAGCTCATGACCAGAGGTGAGGGTAGAAACGAAGACTTGACGGTAAATCGAGAGCTTTGCCTTTAGGCTCAGCTCCCTCTTCACCACAACGGTCCGATACAGTGACTGCATCACTGCCAACGCTGCACTGATCACTACTGTGATCAAACCCACTGAAGTAAATGTGATCAGTGGTAAAATGAAGACTGCAGACGTATGTGCCGTTTGGAATAATCTCTTCTAACCACATGTACCAGTGCACTCAGAGTTGTGCATCAGTGGGGAAATAATGAAAACTGAGGTACAGTTGGAATTGTTGATGAGCCGAACATAACGAAACGCTACAATGACATGGAGTTGGACATTTTCTCAGTTTTACTAGAACAGAGCCTATTGGAAGTTGTCATTGCATCTTTCCAAACATCTTCCTGGTTTGTGACATAAGTGTAAATGAAGTCTATATCAAAATCAAGTTTGAAGTTTTAGTATCATGACAACACTACCTGTCAAAAAAATCCCTTTTCCCCAAAAAAATGATGCAGCCCTGTCTCCACATCATTTAAGGTCACAGATTATGAAACCACATGGTTAAAGACTACAGCAGATGAAACCAAAAACTTCACATGTGAGTAGTAAACTTGTATTCATTACATTTAGGAGTTTTTAGAGTAACTATAGACCATATTTAAACTGGAAATCATATATAAATAAAAATAGAAAAAAATATCCAAAGTAATCGCAATTATATATAAATATAGATAGACTGTTTTTATTTAGGATATTTTTATTAGATACAACTGGCTGGTAATGCCCTACACAACCCACTGTATTGAGATTTTGGGCAATACATTTAAGACTAATACAAATCTAATCTTTACCTTAAAAAAGGCAATAAGAGCAATCACATTATCAACCAATGCATTATTAATAAACCTTCAAACTCTAAACATGATTTTCAAAGTGTAAAGGTCGACTAAACCACAAAATTTCAAAGTAAACAACAATCTCTTGTCAAAATCATTACACAGTATGTTCAAAATCCGAAATAGCCAATATGAGCTCAGAGGTACGGCCACGTTTATCAAAAAGAAAATCAGAACAAAAATTATGACATTTTGTATTTCTGTTAAAGGGGTGGACCTCACGAACAACTGTACAGAAAACCTCAAACTCTGCACCACTCTCTTCCGTTTTATAATGAAATTTAAATGTTTAACTCTGGGCAGATGCATGAATTATGATGCGTAGTTTGTGCTGTAGTACTTTGCTGTACTGTTACTGATTTGTTTGTTTCCTCTTGCTGTATTAATGAAGATGAACTGGTTTCAAGATGATGCTCTGATAAAGAAATAAAGGGTAAAGGCAGAATAAGGTCAAGCTGCAGCCTGCACCTTTTCGGTCTGTGTGTGTTAAATATGACTGTCTGTGGAATAATGTCAGAATAAACCTATGACCCAAATCAATCAATCCATGTTTAAATTTTAAAGTGTCCATATTCTGATCTATGTTACAATGTAGTTTCCTCGTCACAAACAGACCTCGAGTTGTGTTTTATTTCATTCACACATGTTTAACACACAAATCCTTCTCCCACATAATTTCTGCCCTGGAAATGTCGCGCTGTACTGAACTAAAGGTGAATGGAGCTGTTAACTTGAAAACTACCTCTTCATGACATCTCAAGGTGGAACAGAGCATTTTAAGCTTTGGAGATGCAGACAAACTAATAAAAAATTACTCAAACATGTGTGAATCAAACAAAACACAACTCCAGGTGTGTTTGTGAGGAGGTAACACCATTATCACGAGTACTTTTGCGCTTTCTAGGACATTAAAGCTGAAACTATTTCCAGTTGAAATCTTATGACACAAGGGCCGTTTGAGGGCGCATAGTTTGAGCCAACTCCCAAACCGAAACTAGCACAGATCATCCGCAAACAAGTGCACAAACTTCTCCACAAACATCTCAGTAGTTCACTAACTTGTAGTAAATATGACTTTTTCATTTCGAGAGCATTTGGAGATAATATAAAACGGATTTAAGTCGATTTGGTTTGAAGGAATGTTCAAGAAACTGGGCATGGGGTTTTAATTAACTGTTACATAATAGTAGCTGCAAATACCCACCAATGTTTCGCTTTAAATGTGAATATTATAAGATTATATTTCATAATAATGAAGTTTATACACGTGTACTTCGCCAGCTGCCCGTTATATCCATATTGTTTATTCTAAGGACACTTGAGAAATATGTCAGCGGGACAGATTTACGTTTTAAACCTCAAAGATTTAAATTAAAACGCATAATTTGGCATTTTAATGAGTTAGATGCAAATTGATGCCTAAATTATCGAATATAAGAGAAGTTTAGTCGTTTTTCGCTGTTGTTAGGCCTTTGGTAACGATGGAAGCAAAGGCAACAAGTGTCGGTTCGGTTTATGTTAGCCGCATTAGCCGTTAGCATATATTGTACGTACATACACAGTACCCGCCCGCCTGAGCTCACCCCACACCACAAAACAAACGTCCCACAGTCCTAAACCGTTGCCCATCCCATTACACTTGCTCCGAGCACTTGTGGATTCCTGCGGGTTTTAACGCACAAAAAGCGGGTAAAAACTCACGAAAAGGGGCCGAGGTGCTGCTAGAGCGGGGCGGCGGGCATGGCACTCCTCTCCCCGGCTGTGAGCGCTGATTTCGGGGCTGTTTTTGGCCACAGACCGGAGCGGGACGGTGCTTTTTGCTGCAGGTCCCGGAGAAAAGTCCAAGCGAAGAACACAGGCTCCGACAGGAACTCACGTCAGCGCAAATCCACAAAGACTCCACAAAGACACATTTGCATTTTTAAAGACACACGGCCGGACTTTTACTGGCAAGAACTATTGAAACTATCTGATATTCTTATATTTTCTGCAGACACAACTTTATTATTATAAACTAAGATTATGCACTTAGGCTACATTATTTTATTTTTCTGTAAATCAACGAATCAGTCGTACCAGATTCAAATTTGATAAAAATAAAAAAGGTCCAGTAGACTGTAAAAAACAATGCACTTTTAAAAACCTCAAAATCCCACTCAAAGACGGTATTATCGTTTTTAAAGACACACGGCGGGACTTTAAAGGGTATATATTATTACGCTATTTTCTGATCTATAATGTAGTTTCCTCATCATAAACAGACCTGGAGTTGTGTTTTGTTTCATTTACACGTGTTGAACACACAAACCTGGAGGTTGAGTCCTTCTCTTCACTCTGTTCCACCTTGTGACGTCATGTGGTCCACTGTTTTATTTTATTTGAATTATTTCAGCCCTAATGAGCTAAAGGTAGACGTTAACGTGAAAACTACCAGTACGTGACATCACAAAGTGGATTATACACTGTAAAAAAGATAACACTTAAATACGTAGTGTGGGGAAATAACTACTGTATTTATGAATCATTAACGTCATTAACATGTGTTGGGTTAATCATTTTATTCATAGTACATTCATTTTTAGTTCATAAAATGTCAGACATTCTGTGCAGATTTTTAGACTTTAGTGTGGGTTTTGTTTTGACACAATCTGACCAGAAAGAATTGACTTACAGTCCCTGACAAAAGTCTTGTCGCTTATCCATTTTGTAGAAACAAAAGCTTTTAACTTGACTTTAAATTAATCGATTGGTTTTAGAAATGTCTCATATGAAGCTAAAACCCTCCCAAATTATGCTCAATATACTAAAAAAAATTTGCTTCACTGAAAAAAGATTGATCATTTAATGAACACAGAAAGGTCAGATTTTGGCAAGACAAAAGTCTTGTCGTCTTGTCATATGATGCACCCAATCCTAGATTACAGCCTCACCTGTGATCAGTTACTGATCAATCAATTAGTGGGTGTGTATAAAAAGAACCCAGCACACCAGACCTTCACATCAACTGCAACTTGACCTCTGACAACATGCCTAAGATCCACCCTGAGACCAAATCGTTAATTATCAAGAGGCTGAAGACCAGATCCACTGCTGAGGTGGTGACACCTTCAATGTGTCTCAGCGTCAAGTACAAAGAATAAGAAAAAGATCTGAAATGACTGGAGATGTTTTTGACAAGCCCGGGTCCAGCAGACCCCGCAAGACAACTGCTCGGGAGGACCGTTTGTTGATTCGAAAAATCCAAGGCCCCTTTTCCACTGCAGCAGACTCCACCAGGCCTGGTCACCTCAAGTCCCTGTGTCAACCACAACAGTTTGTAGAATTCTATCTCGAAATGGCCTCCATGGTCGAATCAGTGCACAGAAACCAGCACTAAACAAAAGGCAATTAAAAAAATGTGTGGCATTTGCCAAGGCCCACAGCCTGCTAAAAGGATGGACACTGGAAAAGTGGCAGAAGGTGGATTTCTCAGATGAATCCTCAGTTGAATTACATCACAGCCACCGCAAATATTGCAGGAGACCTACTGGAGCCGCATGGATCCAAGATTCACCCAGAAAACAGTTAAGTTTGGTGGTGGAAAAATCATGGTCTGGGGTTACATCCAGTCTGGGGGTGTGCGAGACATTTGCAGGGTGGAAGGCAATATCAATATCCTAAAATATCAAGAAGTATTAGCTCCTCTTACATTCCCAACCATAAAAGGGGTCAAATTTTGCAGCAGGATGGTGCTCCATCACATACTTCTATCTCTACATCAAAGTTTCTCAAGGCGAAGCAGATCAAGGTGCTCCAGGACTGGCCAGCCCAGTCACCAGACATGAACATCATTGAGCATGTCTGGGGTAGAATGAAAGAGGAAGCATGGAAGGCAAAACCAAAGAATCTTGATGAACTCTGGGAGGCATGTAAGACGCTTTCTTTGCTATTCCTGATGACTTCATCAACAAATTGTATGAATCATTGTGGAACCGCATGGATGTAGTCCTTCAAGCTCATGGAGTCATACAAGATATTAAATATGGATCTCACAGCACCACTACTTCATTCACTGACGTTATGCAACATATTTTTGTATTTGAAGTAAATTATTTGTTCAATTTTCTGTAGGCGACAAGACTTTTGTCTTGCCAAAATCTGACCTTTCTGTGTTCATTAAATGATCAATCTTTTTTCAGTGAAGCAAATTTATTTTAATATA